ACCCGGGCCCCCCACACGGGACCCCCCCCCCGCCAACCGAAAAAAACAACAACCAACAAAAACAACAAAAAACAACAACACAGAAAACAAAAAACAACCAACAAAAGACCCCCCCACCAAAAATACGCTAAAGTCCTCTGTCAGACATTTCATTCAAGTGACTACCGAAGAAACAGCAGTGTGAAGTGGCGTGGATAAATCGTAATCTTAAACAACGCTATATATAACTTTAATAGGACCAAAACTATAGTTCACTTGTTATTACATGTTATACAAGGCTCAAAATAAAACTCAACCAATAAAATTTTCTTGCGTGAGACTACGATGAAAGTTATGAACAAATGTTACTCTGGTACAATGATGTTTGCCATACTTCCAATGAAGGCTGTTCACAAAGTTCGCGCCACCACTAATTTTGAATACCTTTCTTAAAGTTGCTCAAAGGGATTAGTGAATAATCTTGAAGAAAAAGATGTTTGTTGTTATTCGCCGTAAATCTCAAAGCACTTTTTGATTTTGAACCTAAAAGAGAGATAAGCCCTGAACGTTTATAACTTAATATTTCATTGTGCAGATGATTATTGATTGCCGTTTTATCTACGTAGATCGTAGAATTCTTCCTTGCCTTAAAGACAGCCACGCGCCTTTTTCGAAGGTATCCTTATCATTTACTCTGACTAGAGTGGCTTCTGTTTTTGAATAGGAATTGTTTTTTAATTTAGCTCGCAAGGCAGCTCGAAGGGCCAACTATTCTCGATTTTAGAACAGCCAAGGTATCTTTACCGTGTGATATAGCCTGCATTAACATTGGAGCTCCAACATTTTTGTCTTTATCCGAGAAGACTAGGCACTCAGTCCTACCTACACTAGAATCAGGAGGTATAGAAAGCATGAGAAATAATCCGACAGACTTCCATGTTTACAGCCGAGTACCCTACGTCCTGTTGAGCTACTGACCCCATGTGCAATTTGTATTTTCACTGCGTTCAACGATAACATTTATATGAAGTACTGTGGAGCGCGGTCAAAGACCAACACGCCTTTTCTGTGGTAAACTCTGCCACTAATATTTGATTTGAACACGACGAGATAAATGTTTCCTACTGTATTCTGCCCAGTCGCATGTACCACTAAAGTGTTGTTAGAAGAAAAGGCTTATGAGGTCTTTATTGTGACAGGTTCTAATCTTTATGATTCCAAAAGCAGGTACAGTAAGCTAACAGGTCGTTGGCTGCGCGGCAGCCTTTTGTCTGGGCTGTCATCGTAATGTTACCCCAGAAACAAGAATGTTTTCATGATAAGAACTAGTAGAAATGGACCATCAATAGTGTTTAGGTTCTGTCTTGGAACAAGTTAAGTACGGACTTAGAAGAGCGCTGTCTGATTGGTGCTTCGCTAATCCTTTAATGTAAGAATGTTGGACCATAACTAAAGCTTTATTCAGAATTGCTTGTAGAACATATTCACTGATATGATACAATATCATGTAGTAATGCTATGTATGATAAGCTGCGAAATTACTTGCCCTATTTTACATGACAGGTTTTTGTACAGGCCACGTTTCTCGTTAGAGATAAATAAACGAGCGTCTGTGTGTGGCATAATAGTCGAGCTCTTTGCCGCTACACGTAAAATGCGGGAGTTGGAATTCCGCGCAGGGAGACTTATCGATTATTTCCGTCTTTTTGCTGGAATACTGGATTCCTTGTGTTCTACTCAACCCAAAACTTTGTTGACAGGCGATGAAAATATAAAGAATCAAACCAGAGGCTTATATAT